GTACAGAGAACTCCGCTCAGTCACCACACACGTGTCAGTCATGGCACAGAGGGCTCCCCTCAGTCACCACACACGGGTCAGTCAAGGCACAGAGAGCTCCCCTCAGTCCACTACACACGTGTCAGTCATGGCTCAGCAGGGCTCCCCTCAGTCACCACACATGTGTCAATCACAGCCCAGCAGCGCTCCCCTCAGTCACCACACACGTGTCAGTCACAGCACAGAGAACTCCCCTCAGTCACCACACACGTGTCAGTCACGGCACAGAGGGCTCCCCTCAGTCACCACACACGTGTCAGTCACGGCACAGAGGGCTCCCCTCAGTCACCACACATGTGTCAGTCAAGGCACAGAGGGCTCCCCTCAGTCACCACACATGTGTCAGTCACAGCACAGAGAGCTCCCCTCAGTCACCACACACGTGTCAGTCACGGCACAGAGAGCTCCCCTCAGTCCACTACACACGTGTCAGTCACAGCTCAGCAGGGCTCCCCTCAGTCACCACACACGTGTCAGTCACAGCTCAGCAGGGCTCCCCTCAGTCACCACACATGTCAGTCACAGCTCAGCAGGGCTCCCCTCAGTCACCACACACGTGTCAGTCACAGCACAGAGAGCTCCCCTCAGTCACCACACACGTGTCAGTCACTGCTCAGCAGGGCTCCCCTCAGTCACCACACACGTGTCAGTCATGGCTCAGCAGGGCTCCCCTCAGTCACCACACATGTGTCAGTCACAGCTCAGAGAGCTCCCCTCAGTCACCACACACGTGTCAGTCACAGCACAGAGAGCTCTCCTCAGTCACCACACACGTGTCAGTCACAGCTCAGCGGAGCTCCCCTCGGTCACCACACATGTGTCAGTCATGACACAGAGGGCTCTCCTCAGTCACCACACACATGTCAGTCACAGCACAGAGAGCTCCCCTCGGTCACCACACATGTGTCAGTCACGCACAGAGAGCTCCCCTCAGTCACCACACATGTGTCAGTCACAGCACAGAGAGCTCACCTCAGTCACCACACACGTGTCAGTCACAGCTCAGCAGTGCTCCCCTCGGTCACCACACACGTGTCAGTCACAGCACAGAGAGCACCCCTCAGTCACCACACACGTGTCAGTCACGGCTCAGCAGGGCTCCCCTCAGTCACCACACACGTGTCAGTCAAGGCACAGAGAGCTCCCCTCAGTCACCACACACGTGTCAGTCACAGCTCAGCAGTGCTCCCCTCGGTCACCACACACGTGTCAGTCACAGCACAGAGAGCTCCCTTCAGTCACCACACACGTGTCAGTCACGGCACAGAGAGCTCCCCTCAGTCACCACACACGTGTCAGTCACAGCACAGAGAGCACCCCTCAGTCACCACACATGTGTCAGTCACGGCTCAGCAGGGAACCCCTCAGTCACCACACACGTGTCAGTCACGGCACAGAGAACTCCCCTCGGTCACCACACACGTGTCAGTCACGGCTCAGCAGGGCTCCCCTCGGTCACCACACACGTGTCAGTCACGGCTCGGCAGGGCTCCCCTAAGTCACCACACACGTGTCAGTCACAGCACAGAGAGCTCCCCTCAGTCACCACACACGTGTCAGTCGCAGCTCAGCGGAGCTCCCCTCAGTCACCACACACATGTCAGTCACGGCACAGAGAGCTCCCCTCAGTCACCACACACGTGTCAGTCACAGCACAGAGAGCTCCCCTCAGTCACCACACACGTGTCAGTCACGGCACAGGGAGCTCCCCTCAGTCCACTAGACACGTGTCAGTCACAGCACAGGGAGCTCCCCTCGGTATAGCCTGCAGTGCTGAGAGGCTGATTCATACAGACAGCAGTATAAATAAGTCAGGGCTCCTTAGAACTTTGATATCTGTCTGTATGGATATGTAGGAACAGATAGCTCTACAGATACGGGCAGAGCCATCATGCACATGTACAGGTACAGTAACTAGGTCAGCATAAGCAGTGGCTAGATAGATGACAGGGATATGGACGCATGGAGGCACAGACAGACAGATGACAGACAGACAGCCTGGCAGGGCGAGTGCTCCGCTGAGTTCTTACAGCTGCACATTGATGCACAACGCAAAGCAGGGCAGTAAGGGTGGACTGCCCCTTTCTGGAATGTTCCGTCACTTTGATATGTGTTTTTAAAGCGGGGGAAGGGGGTGTGGATTATTATGGGAGACAGTGTGTGAAACAGCTCTTGCCAGCATGGGTGGAAATGCCGTCAGAGCTGCCGGAGAGCGGAAGCCGAAGTTTGCTGTTTGCCGCTTTCTAACCCAAGCTGAGCCCAGAACAGCACCGCGTGCAGGTCTGTCTCTAGCAAAGCACTGACAACTGCAGCCCCTCAAGAAGCCTCCCTGGGGTGGAGAGGAGGATCAAGTGGGTCGCCGCACTTCTGTAATAGCCACCGTGTCTTACGGCGCTACATGGCAAACCTGAAATTCCTGCCAAGAACCCCACGTCTGAGCCCCTCTGCACACTTCTGAATTCTCCCTGGCTACGCCGACTTCCTCCCCCTGGAGGAAACCCGTGCTCGAGGCACAGACCATGCACCCTCACCCTGTCTGCCACTTCCCCCCAGGCTCTGAGCCCTGTGCCCGACGGAGGACAACCGGCGTTGAAACGCCAGCCATCGACTTAACCATGACCCACACTTAAGGTCTCAGTTCAAGGGTAAATTCTGGAACTCTGTGCTGCAGAGCGCAGTGTTTTCTCCTTGGCAGCAAGCAGACAGCCCGTGGTTTAGCAGGATGAAAGACCTGCGTGCTGGGGTGGGGGCCGACTCAGGCCTGGCCGCTCTGCCCCCCTGAGGCCACTCCCCGAGCCCCAGCCCCTTCCAGTGCAGCGCACGTGCCCCCAGCGGAACCACACGCCAGGTCGCTGCATGCCAGGGCAGCGGGGATTCGGGGCGGGCTGTGGAGCAGGACAAAGAGGCTCTGGCTTCAACAGAAAGCCAGCTTGGTTCCGGGGGCTCGGCCTGCTTGGTGGCAGTCACCAATGACGTCTTGCAGGGCTCACTAACCCAGTGGTGACGCACCCCTGGCCGCTGTGTTCAGAAACACGGCCGTCTCTGCGTCCCCTCAGGAGATTTTCTGCAGCGACCTCCTTGGACACGAGAATCCACGGAGGCTCACGTCCCTCATGGTAATGGTCTGGCAGGGGCGGGGCCTGTGGCGCAGCAGGTTAAGTCACCACTTGCCTCACCCACGTCCTCTAGCAGAGCACCGGTTCAAGTCCCAGCTGCTCTGCTTCCGATCCAGCCGCCTGCTAACGCACCTGGCAAGCAGAAAGGTGGTGGCCCGAGTGCTTAGGCCCCTGCCAACTCTTGCCAGACCTGGTTGGGGCTACTGGCTCCTGGCTCCTGGCTTTGGCTTGGCCCAGACCTGTTTGGACCACCTGGAGAGCAAACCAGTGGGTGGAAGTTCTCTCTCCCCCTCTGTCTCTCCCTCTCTGTCACTCTGCCCCTCTAACTAATGAATGCACTTTAAACAAACAAACAAAAAGATATATTTATTTGAAGGCAGAGTTTACAGAGAGGGAGAGACAGAGAAAGAGAGAGGTCTTCCGTCCCTAGGCTCACTCCCCAAATGACCACAACAGCCAGAGCTGGGTCATTCTGAAGCCAGGAGTCAGCACCTTCCTCTGGGTCTCCCACGTGGGTTGCAGGGGCACCTGCCTTCCCAGGCACACGAGCAGGGAGCTGGATGGGAAGTGGAGGAGCCAAGACCTGAACAGCACCCATACGGATGCCGGTGCAGCAGGCAACAGCTTTATCCCCATACCGCAACAGCTCCACCACAGCTGGCACCATTAATGCACCTTTTTAAAAGGCACACGAACCGTCTTGAAAATGGTATAGCACTAACATGTAGCCTACACACATCCTCTCGTGCACTTTAAATCATCTCTCAATGACCCTGCATAGCTAATACCACACAAATCGTTAATGTATTGTATTGTTCAGGGAATAATACCAAGGGGGAAAGTCCGTACATGTTCAACACAATTACTTTTTCTGAGAATTTAGATCTGCAGTTCACTGAATCGACAGACGTGGAACCGAGGACAGACAGGGCCTGGCAGGGCGCAACTCACCGGTCCACAAAATAGCCGATGACGGGGCTCTCCGTGGTCGTGTTGGGCGGCTTCCAGGTCACGATGACATAGTCTCGGTTTGCATCGTGGCACTGCAAGTCCATGGGAGCTCCGGGAGCCCCTGTGACGAGCGGGTCAGCATCTGGGGGTGAGTGACAGGACGGTCACTTAGAGTCAGTCCAGCAGAGGGTGGAACACCCAGGCAGAGCAAGGGAGTGGACATTTCAAACACCACCGCTGTAAGCATTTCGGACTGCAAGTCAGTACATACGTATGTGTGCAAGGATGGGGATAAACGTATATAAATATCTGTACATGTTTCTGCACGTGACCGGCCCCGACACCGAGCCCCGTGTGTACATGCTTCTACACGTGACCGGCCCCGACACCGAGCCCCGTGTGTACATGTTTCTACACGTGACCGGCCCCGACACCGAGCCCCGTGTGTACATGTTTCTACACGTGACCGGCCCCGACACCGAGCCCCGTGTGTACATGCTTCTACACGTGACCGGCCCCGACACCGAGCCCCGTGTGTACATGCTTCTGCACGTGACCGGCCCCGACACCGAGCCCCGTGTGTACATGTTTCTGCACGTGACCGGCCCCGACACCGAGCCCCGTGTGTACATGTTTCTGCACGTGACGGGTCCCGACACCGAGCCCCGTGTGTACATGTTTCTGCACGTGACGGGTCCCGACACCGAGCCCCGTGTGTACATGCTTCTACACGTGACCGGCCCCGACACCGAGCCCCGTGTGTACATGCTTCTACCCGTGACCGGCCCCGACACCGAGCCCCGTGTGTACATGCTTCTACACGTGACCGGCCCCGACACCGAGCCCCGTGTGTACATGTTTCTGCACGTGACCAGCCCCGACACCGAGCCCCGTGTGTACATGTTTCTGCACGTGACGGGTCCCGACACCGAGCCCCGTGTGTACATGTTTCTGCACGTGACGGGTCCCGACACCGAGCCCGGTATGTACATGTTTCTGCACGTGACGGGTCCCGACACCGAGCCCCGTGTGTACATGTTTCTGCACGTGACGGGTCCCGACACCGAGCCCCGTGTGTACATGTTTCTGCACGTGACAGGCCCCGACACCGAGCCCCGTGTGTCACGGGTTCTGCTTTGCTTTCACCAGGTGGACCCGCGCGGCCCCCCTCACAAGGCTGTGCCTGGCACAGGGCAGTCAGCGTCACAGTGACAGCACTCTAAGTCAAGAGAGAACCATGGACTCACGGGGGAGGGGCGGTGACAGGACCCCTGCCGGCTCCCCCCACCCCGCCAGAGCCCCCTTTCCTGTGCCCCATCCCCTCTGGGAGGAGGAATCCCGATGCCCTCACTGTCGGGGGCCCCGCGGTAGAATCCGACCATCGCTGGGTGATGAGAGACAAAGGCACCATGGGATCTGTGCTCATTGTCGGGTGCAGCCTGGGGTGCTGGCCTGGGCCCAGCAGGTGCTCACTGCCCACCAGAGGAACCAGCGCCCTTCTGCTCCCTTGCCCTGCGGCCCTGGCCCTGTGGGGCCTCCTCGGCCACGTGCTCAGGGCCAAGCCGTGCGGAGGCCACGCGTACCTCTGACGAACAGGAAGGCGCTGTGGTCGCTGACACCGCCGCGGGACACGATCCTCAGGGTGTACAGGCCCTCGTCGTCCTTGTTCAGGTGGCTGAAGGACAGCGAGGCCTGGCCCTCGCCGAAGAACATCCGGGTCCACTTGGACTCCTTGACCAGCACATCTGAAAGAGTCAGCATCCAGCGCTGCCTCACAAGTCCCCCAGGAGCCCCCAGGACCCCCCAGGAGACCCAAGCTGGTGTCATGGGCGGACAGGGCCCCCGGGGAAGGCAGCTGTGGGAGAGCCCTGTCCCCACAGTGCACTCGCATGGAGCAGGGACCACAGGGGTGCGGGGAGAAAGGACATGTCCCCAGGGGCACAGAGACATGGCCCTGCCTCTGAGAAAGGCACCAGCCCCCAGCCTCACCCACAGCCGCGGGAGCTGCCTGGGATGGCAGCTACCTGGAAGCTAATGCCCCGGAGGGAGCCGGGCTCAGCCCTAGCACTGCTGTTGATCTAGACAGGAAGAGAAAGAGGCTGGGACAAAGTGCAGGTGTAGAAGCAAACGGAGCGCTGTTGTAGAGGGAGCATTCAACACAGACATCTCAGACACACAGCGAGGACAGACAAACTGCTTTCCACTAAACGTGGTGGAGCTGGGGGGGGCAGGAGCCCCTCTCCTCACCCTGGGGGGCACACAGGAGAGGAGCCCCTCCCCTCACCCTGGGGGGCACACAGGAGAGGAGCCCCTCCCCTCACCCTGGGGGCACACAGGAGAGGAGCCCCTCCCCCCACCATGGTGGGCACACAGGAGAGGAAACCCTCCCCTCACCTTGGGGGCACACAGGAGAGGAGCCCCTCCCCTCACCTTGGGGGCACACAGGAGAGGAGCCCCTCCCCCCACCATGGTGGGCACACAGGAGCAGGAGCCCCTCCCCTCGCCCTGGGTGGGCACACAGGAGAGGAGCCCCTCCCCCCACCCTGGGGGGCACACAGGAGAGGAGCCCCTCCCCCCACCCTGGGGGGCACACAGGAGAGGAGCCCCTCCCCCCACCCTGGGCACTGGTCATGACAGGTGACATGGGAGTGCTGTCAGATCCCTGAAATACACTAACAGTTTGCAGCAATGACACACACCCGAGAATGTGCTGTAAGCAGTAATATGGGTTCATGATGAGGACTTCAGTCCTGATTTGTATCAGAAGAGCATAAGGCAGCTCCAAGCCCAAGTGGAGGTACAGGTGATATGTTCGCCCAGGGAGGCCCGGCCGCCGGCAGCTCGGGTGCCATGGAGGGGCGCTCACGGGAACACACACAGTTCATTGTCAGGGGAGCCAAGTGCTGAGGAGGTCAGGGTTTCCGTGATGAAATAATCATGCAAAGTGGCCGGCGCTGTGGCGCAGCCGGTTAAAGCCCTGGATGGCAGGGCTGGCATCCCATACGGATGCAGGTTTGAGTCCCAGCTGCTCCACTTGCGATCCAGCTCCCTGCTAATGAACCTGGGAAAGCAGCAGAAGGTGGACCAAGCGCTTGGGCCCCTGCACCCACGTGGGAGACCCGGAAGAAGCTCCTGGCTCCTGGCTTCGGATCGGCTCAGCTCTGGCGGTTGCAGCCATTTGGAGAGAGAACCAGATCTAAGACCTCTCTCTCTCTCTCTCTCTCTCTCACTCTAACTCTCTTTCAAATAAGTAAAATAAATCTTTTTTAAAAAGAAGTAAACAAGCGTGCAGAGTTGCCGTACGGTTTCTCCCACACAGCTAATGCTGACTGGGAATTAGCAGAGCTGGGTCTGTGATCAGAACAACAAAAGCACGGCACAGCGCCTCGTGCTTCCGTCCAACGCAGAGCAGCGAGAGCTTCGCCGTGGGAGGGCACGCAAGTCCGAGAGGAGGCCCTCGGTTTCCCCTTCGCAGAGACTGGTGAACCTTGTCACTGCATTCCCGGATCAACAAAAACCTCTGCAGTCTTAGACCCTGTCTGCCTGGTGCTGCAGCCTGCACTGCACTTGTTTGTCCAAGAAAGGAAAAGAAAGACAGGAAGGCATGGCAGTCCCCTAGAAGGGACATATTTCTGTTGATCAATCAAAAACAGCTTTCCACCAACGAAAGTCTGAAAGAGACAGAGACCACCAGAGTGACACCGGAGAATGACCCCAGATCCCGAGCACAGGGCGCTAGCCCGGGTCCGGCAATCCTCCAACACAGCGCTCCCTCCCGACCCCACGCAGGCGCTGCACACACTCCGGCCTCTCACTCTTGGCCATCTCTGAGCGCTCTGGGCCCTGCTCTGACCTCACACCGCAGGGCCCGGGCCCTGGCCCAGGGCTTTAAATGCTCCCCAGGGCAGTGGCCCCCATTGAACCCCTCGGCCCTGACCTCTCTCTGATGACCAGGCCCAGACGCTATCTCCCACGGGGACCCCACAGGCATCTCTAGATTAAGTTGCCCAAAAGTGGGGTCCTGAGCCCCACTCCATCCACTCACCCAGAGTCAACCCTGACAGCCACAGACCCCATTTCTGAAGGAACCCCAGGAGCACACAGTCACACCCTTCTTCTCCCCCCAACACCCCGTGTTCCCCAAGTCTGCTGGGTGCACACCAATCTGCCACTCCCCTCTTCCACCAGCTCCTCCTGGGCCCCCTGCCCCCACACCCAAGGAACGCCTTTGCTCTAGTGCAGGGCACCAGCGCCTGCAGGGCCGCCCCACAGGCCACCAGCCAGAGGGCAGGTCCCTCACACAAACCCCCAGCCCCTCTCCTATGCACTCAGGACCACCCCTGCTGCCCCAGTAGCCGCCCCTCCCCCTCCGCTCCTCCCCTCTTCTTCCCCCTCTCCTTCCTCC